AGCTTTTAAAGCGTCGCCTATGGCCAATTTTGGGTATTATCGTTTTTTGAGGTTTCGCGCGCGCACGCAATTTTAAGGCTTGACATATTTGGTGTCTTTTTACCCGACGTGACCCCGTCTTTTATATTTTACCAAAATAATAAATGTTTTATCATTTAATATAGGGGAAACTGTTTTTTTTTTTTTAAATTTCGGTAATTTTTCCTTAATATAGTAAAAAATAAAACCCCCGGTGGTGAATAAATACCACCAAAAGAAAGCTCTATCTGTCCCCAAAAAATGGTATAAAATTCATTTCAGTACAGCGCTGCATGACGGAATAAATGTCAGTCAAAGTACCGCAGCGCTGAATACTGAAAAATGGCCTGGAGGGGAAGGGGGTTTAACACCGCGGATGTCAACTGGTTAAACTGCTCTATGTTAACTACATTTTCAGAGGTCGGGGTGAGAGAGGTGCTACACAAGACAGTATCTATCCTGTTGGATATTCTGACAAACAAGTACCAGACACCAGTGTGCAAGAGTCTGACCACATTCTGGTGGAGAAGGTAAGATTACACAGCTCCGGAATGGTATATTCGGTTGTAGCAATCGTGTTTACAACTTGTTTAGCTCTTGTTAAATGATTTGCTATTAAATCTGGTGATTTCTCTTTTTGTGTGCAGCGTTGCTGGGATATCGCTCTCGGACCTCTTAAACAGATACCTATGAATCTATTTATTATGTATATGGCTGGTAATACAATCTCCATCTTCCCTATTATGATGGTGTGTATGATGGCATGGAGACCCATACAAGCACTGCTTGCTACACCTGCCAGTAAGTTTTGTTTTGCTAACATTGCTGTTAAGTGCCAGATATGTTACCTGTGTTGGTCAATAGTGAGAGAACAGGAATTTTAATGAAATGCATCTGCACCTGTGCTGGTTTTGTGCCATAAGCCTTTATCTCTGTCTGGATCTCTGCCTGGGAAAATTCCCCTCTTTTGTCCTGGTGCCTCCTGACTGGGACACAAATTAAGGGAAATTCCCAAACCGGAACACCAATGTCAAGGAACCTGACAGCGATTGTGCAATCCTCCCCATCTCTTCTAAAATAGTGTTAATATTGCTGTTTGTGCCTAAGCGGAGAGAGCTCTGGTATCTGTAAGTGCTATCAGTAAAAAAGGAAGTTAGGGAAATACTTCCTAATGGTGGTCTAAACAGCAGAGGTTCTAACCAGTCTCCTATCTAGGGCTGCAGATGACAATTATTTTTTCGATTAGTTGCATTAAAAAAATGGAAAATTGTATACTAACCTATCGATAATTTTCCTTTCCTGATGCCAATACATGGCAGCATACAATGGGTATAGCTCCGCCCCCATTGTATGCTGCATGTAGGTCTCAGGAAAATCTCCCTCGTCTCTCTCCCTTCCTCCCCTCCTTCCTCCCCTCCTCTCCCTCCCTCTCCCTCCCTCCCCTCCTCTCCCTCCCAGTTTGACAGACGGCACCTTATTGAGAGCTGCTGCACATTCACGAATACATGGGCATGTGCAGCAGTTCTGTCCCCACAGCGCTCTCTCTCTCCCTCCCTCCCCCTCCTCTCGCTCTCTTTCTTGCTCTCCCCCAGCCCTACTATCTATCAATGGCTACATTTTTATTTTTAAAATAAAATATATCCATTGCTTATTCCCATTATGACTGGTAGTGCAAATACAGTATCATTGGTTTTGCATATTGAATGTTTTACATTTTGTATTTCTGTTCTTGTTTAGCCTTTAAGCTCCTAGAGAGCTCTGGTCAGCGGTTTCTACAAGGGCTGGTTTACCTGATTGGAAACCTTTTGGGTCTTGCATTGGCTGTGTATAAGTGTCAGTCTATGGGACTTCTGCCTACACATGCTTCTGATTGGTTGGCTTTCATTGAACCGCCAGAGGTTAGTCTACCTTTCTGTACAGATTACATTATTTCATGTTAAATGTTAGATTGTGTTATATAGGAACTGCTGTTGCACTGTGCAGGTAAATGTAAATCTTTTAGGGACTTTACCAAACATATAATGTCTTTGTCTTTTGTAGAGAACCGAATACATTGGAGGAGGCCTAATACTGTAAAGCTAAAACTGAAGATGCACAGAAGCCTTTTATCGTAAAGAACTTTGCACATTTTGGAAGCAGCTAACTACTGTTAAGACAGCATATTTTTGTTTTCTCCCTTTTAATAAATTATTATGACTTCATAAATTGTATGAGCACGTTGTTATTCTACAATAGATTGAATATGAGCACCAACTTACATCTGCTCCAGAGAATGTAGTCAAAGATAAAGGTGAAAGTAAAAGCAGAACAGTTAAGATCTGTTTTGGATGCAGGGCAGAACATGTACTAATATTGGGTAGTGTACCTCCTTATTAAAAAATAAATTAATTAGAAGCAATATGTAGCCTATGAGTTTTATATTGGTTATGCTACTACTTACAAGAGGATTGGGCGCTGGTAAACAAAAAACAAAAACCTGTATATCAGCCCAGGATAACTCCGCCTACTATCAGCATGTCTTAGTTTTTTGTTAGTGTTCTTGGTCCATCCACTTTTTCTTGAGAATTCTAGGTCTGTTGGTAGCCTCTTTCAAAACTGTCCAATTTGCCCGGCTTCACTCCAGACCTCTACATGGCAACATTCTGTCATTGTGGGACAAGTCAACCCAGTCTCTGTTAAAACGGATTTGCCTGACACCAGAGACAAGGTCTGGCCTAGTAGCTCAGGAACATTGCTCTGGAGTCCTTCCTGTCTTTTTGAGAATCCTTATGACCGACGCCAGCCTGTTAGCATGGTGAGGAGTCCTTGGCACCCTGTTGGTGAAGGATACTTGGTCCTTGGAGCAGTTTCATCTTCCGTTCAACATCCTGGAACTTCGGGGGAACTTTGACAGACAAACTGTCCATCCAACTGAAGGGTTCATCCAAATAAGACCATTCTACTAGAACACAGTCAAGGAGGAACTAGAGGTCTTATCATGGCAAGAGAGATAAATTATATCCTGTCCTGGGCAGAACTTTACGTTCCAGCCTTGTCAGTAGTGTACATTCCAAATGTAGACCGTCATCAGCCAGCAGCACCTGGACCTATGGGAGTGATCCCTACACCTGGAGGTGTTGGTACAGGGGGGCCCTCTATCAGCACCAGTGGATGCTGTAGTGGCTACATAGGAACAGTACACAATGATGTATGCCTTTCCTCTCTGAAAATCACTTGCTCATGTTCTTCACAGGATCTAACTGGAAGGCATTCTGGCGATACTTATTGTAGTGGGTTGGCCCACACAGAGTTGGTTTGACAACCAGTAAAACTCCTAGCAGACACTCTATGGGCTCTACTGGATGGTCAGGCTCTTCTGTCCCACGGACAGATTTGCCACTCAGCTTCACAGTCGCTAGCTTTAATTTCATGGCTGCTGAAGCCCATGATGCTAAAAAGTCTCAGAAAATCTATCATCGGGGCATGGAAGGCATCCTTTAGTTGGTATGAGTCTTGGAGTTTCCACCCTAGGAGTTTTTATGTAGATTGAATTATCTCCCTTCTGCAGCTGATATCCTTTTCTTGGAGTTCATTGAGGAACACAGGTTCCACCCCTCTCTTTTAAAGGTCATGCTCTCGGTACTGCTTTGGTACAAAACTGAGGCATGCTGGAAGTGGGATGGATGTTCTTGGGCTGCCCTACAGCTTTTGTTGCTACTGTAGGCGGTAGTATAACCTGAAGGTTAACACTTCTTCTTTTGTCCCTCAATTGACTCCAAGAAAAATACTTAACAGTGAGAACAAAAAATTATTTTTCTGGTGCCAACATTTCCATGCTGTATTTCAATTTTTAAAGAATACTTAAACCCAAGAACAAACATTTTAATATAGTGCAGATTACCAGATGTGGCGGCTAAATTAGCTTTCATTTCATTTTTCAAGAACCTTATTGTAAGTACAGCATTTCCTGTTGATCTCGCCAGAACTGCAGTGTCTGTCGTTTCCTTTTGAGTAGAAAAGAAAGCACAAACATCTTCATCTTTCTTGTGTAAACCACTAGTCCAATCAGTCCACCATGTAATTTAGATGAACAAAGACTGACATGTTTGAAGCCCATCCTGTGTGATAACCATGAATACAGGGGAGAAATGAATGTAAACATGAAAGGATTTGTAAGATTACCTCCTGAAAATAGAAAACGAATGCTAACTAGTAAGCCGCAATATATTACATGTTCGTTTTTGGGTTTAGACTTTGTTTCTGTAGACATTTCCATCTACATTATATGTTGCAAATGATTTTGAGGCCTAGGATAAAAATGACGAAACCCACAGCAATGAATCAGAAATTATCTTTTTGAGATCTTACCACAGTAAAATCATTTATTGACATTGCTCTTCGCAGTGTACATTTAGCCTGTCCAGTCATTCTTCATTGGTTTTAAAAATAAATATGGAACATGTACCAAAGCCATTGAAACTGCTGGATGAGTTTGCCAGTGATGAGTGCAGTAAAGGGTTCCTGAGGTGCCCCTAAATGACAAAAGCATCAATGGGGACATTTAAAAGGTCCATCCACACCTAATTACAGTGCAAAAGTTGATGAAATAACTGCCCTAATGGATTCTTATTTGATCAAGAAACACAGCGCTATCTCCCCCATCTAAGGGTGAGGTGGCGTGCGGACTTGTGCTTGATGCATTTTGTCCCAATGGCTGTCAAGCCAAACGAAACGTGTCCTTAGCACGGTGTTTCTTGATCAATTAAGCAAATTGTTATATATATATATATCTATATATGAGAGAGAGAGAGCGATATTTAAGTATTTGAAGTGGGATTTTTAGATAACACTTCCCACTGCTGACTACTCCGTGTTTAGGAGTTCTTTAATACAAGGAGATTTTATGGGAGTTTATTACACATTTTTTTTCACATGATGGTTTCATGTATGTTGCATGAATGATAGCACTTTACATGTGTTTTCATTTTTTCCCTATATTTTACCCTGGCATTATCTTTTGTTTTGAGGATCTATTGAGTTTGTTACTTAGAGGGGGAGGGGAGCGTGCAATGTTTCTTGATCAATTAAGTACTGGATGAGAGGACTGAGATCCTCTGATTTATTCACTGCAGCTGTCATTTAACTCTTTGAGGGGACTGAACACATGGGGTAGATAGCGCGGTGTTCCTTTTGTTTAACTGAACTATTGGCTTCTTATGTCTCTCAGGGATTATAGACCCTCCTCCCCATCCCTTTTAGGTTGTCCAAAGAGTGATTCATGCCTTTTATTTGTATAAATACGTTGTCAGATGGGCATGCTAGCACTTTTAGTTGTATAAACACAGGCAATTCGGTAGAGGGGTGTGCTGTGATTTGTATTCAACTTTTGATCCAAAAGAGCTATGGAGAATACTGGAGATTGTAATCCTAGGAAGACAAAAATTACATGTGTGCATGGTGGGAACCATGCTCAAACCTTGACATTAGATCAAAGAAAAAGATTGGGAGGTATGCTTGGATCTATAGTTCTACAGAGACATTTGAACACCTAGAGGGCATGCTAGGATGTTTACTTTAGATCCCAAAGAGGAACCTGCTGTGCATGCTTGGACTTGTAGTTTGGACACAGGAGGTTTGCTAGTGGGGCATGCCGTGTCTTGATGTAGTACAAATGTCTAAGAGAAGCTATTCAGCCACCCAGACAGTCAGTTATGGGACAGAGAATAGGATACAATTAGCACACATCAATGCTACCATGGTACATAACCACAAACAAGTGTGCAGCATGAATCTGATCTTCTTTCCTGATGTTTTCATCTGTCCCTCCTGCGGTGCGGTGGCTCTCCGTCCAGCGCTGACTCCTCTCTGCTTGCAGGCACTTCCTGCATGCGGGTGCACGCGTCCATAGACTTACCTTGCGTCCCTGCTCGTCTCCCGGCCGAGAATCCGAACTGCGCATGCACACGCCCCAAGATCCTTTGCGGCCACACGAACAGTTCCGGATTCTCAGCGCGGGAGTGCGCAGCAATAACGAGGTAAGTTTAAACTGCTGTTAAAGCGGGTTTTATTTTAACATTTTTTGCCTATATCTGCTTGCTAGCAGTAGATGTAAGCAAAGAAACCAGTGGAATATAACATGGGTGCAAAAAATGAAAAAAGGGCCTCAGTCATGAAGGGGTTAAACATTTAAACTTTTGCCTACAGGAGGATTGGACACTAGCAAACAAACTGTAGGCAAGCCTAGGGTATAACCACTCCCACTATGCCTACATTTTTTTGTTTTTAGGAGGATGGATGTCTTTTCTTTAGCTCTGCTATTGTAAAGACCGAGACTCTTCTCTGTATTGTTGCTGGAGGTTTCCTCTCTGATTAGCAGCTATCTGACCTAGCTTTGCTCAACTTGCCTGTTGGACCATACCGCATCCGGAACCCCACTGGACTGGACGTTGTGGAGCTAGCCTGGAAGTGAACTTTAAACATTGGGTTCTACAAGGGGTGCTGTCCAGATTTCATTTTGGTTAAGTTAGTTGTGGAGCGCTTTCCAGGTCCAGACCTGCTGGCATTGCCTCTGCACTTGTCATGTCTCTGAAGAGTAATCTAGTGAGTAGGTCAAGCACCTCGAACACCCTAATTTTCATTGGTGGCTGGGCACCATTATTTCCCATTTCCTGCCGGCTTTGCCATAGAAGGGGTTATCACTGGGGGAATGAGTGCTGACATCTACTGGGTGGACGGTCACGCTTTTGCTTTCCCACTCCTGTTACAAAGAACCACATGGAACTCTAATCCATTCCTACAGCGAATTTGGCCATCCAACCACCAGTCCCTCACCCTGACTTGCTACCAGTTGTCTCGGTATTGCGAGTACTTGAGGCCTTGCCTCTTACACTAAGATTGTACGTTTTTGGCCACATGTCTGATTGTTGAAATGAGTGGGACAGTTCCGCTGTACCAGGTGCCTAAGCTCACTTTCTACTAATGTTTTGAAGATTACTTGTAGTGCAGCTACTGAGGTTGCCAACATGTGCAGGCTGGAGTTATGCTGTTCCCTTGAATAAATGATTTAATACCTTCTGCTGATACTACTGCTTGCGGAAAACAGTTCCACAACTTTACAACTCCAACAGAAAAGAATCCCCTTCGCCTCTTGTGGTTAAACCTTTTTCCTCCAATTTTAGGTGGTGGCCTTTTGTCTTTAGCGAGTTTACAATAAACTGTTTATTACGGAT